CTCCCACCAGCCTCTCATTAATGCGTCAACACGGCAGCCCTTTTTTACGCGTTTCTGCTTGCTGTATTTTGTCCATCTACGTAGTCGACTCAGCTGGGGGGAGGCCGTTACGCGCCGATCCAATTTACGGGGAATTGCCCGTGTAGTTTAGGGGTGTTAAGTCCATTTAGATACTCTGCACAACGCGGATATATATAAAGAGGGATTGGAACTTTACACGTTCTTAAGATCCTTCAAAATCTCTGCTAAGCGGCCCTTTAGAAGATTCCGAAATAATCGCTCTAACTTTCTCCCTCTCTCTCGCTCTCTCTCTCTCTTTCTCGCTCTCTCTCTCTCTCTCTCTCTCTATTTTCTCAAAGCCAAAATCTCCATATATTCCTGACTTCACAACGCCTTTCAAATTCGCATTATCATTTTTATGTGCTCTTTTCTCTGTTTCGCCCTCTTAAAGGCCCATTGAAGTCTAAATCTATAGATATATTTACAGTTACCTCCTCCAAAATGCGTGTCGATTGTTCACGAGGTCCATTGACGACGAATCCTTTGGATTTCTGGATCCAGCACGTCATCTTCCCCGTCCAATGCATCGGATTTTTGACGCTGGCAATTACAGTAATCTACAATGTGTTGAAGGGACGGACCAAGCATGTCGTAAGTCACCATTCGAAAATCATAAAAGTTACAGTCCTCCCGGAAAACTACAGTACACTACTATTGACGTCATCTACTTTATTTTTTCAGGCCCGCTGGTCCCTCCTCTTCCTGGCCATCGTCGATGTGCTTATTTTTGCTTGTCTGGTCCCACAGAGTCTCGGCACCTTCCGAGCCCTCTACGAAAACGAACAATTCCGGTACGTTACTATGTACAGTTGCCTTTTCGGGTGCTGTAGAGTACTGTAGAGCGCGCAAAAAATAATACTATGACCAGTCGCTTAATGGCCCCGCGAAAATTGGGGTGCGATACGCAATTCGGTGCCGCGGGGGGTTACGGTAGCTATTTCGGCTTGAAACAAGCAGAATTTAGGCGATCGTCTGACTTCCTGGTGCCTTTAGAAACAGGTTTTAAACGCGGGTTACGGTAGCGGCAGTCGTGAAATAAGCCAGTTTTGAAGCTCTGGTTTTAAAGGGTCTATCAAGGCAAAAAATGCGTTTTGGCTTGCCGGTCCCTTTAAAATAGCTTTTTCGAACCGATTACGGTAGTTTAATCCCTATTTTTTTCAGGCGTTTCTACCAACTGGCCCGGATTCGATTGTATGCATTCTCAAATCAACTGTCAGCCGTTGATACCTCGATCTTCCTCCTCATCATCATTGAGATTTATTTGAGGGCAAGGGGATCGACGATGACAAAGGTATCTAGATACCTTCAATGCTCCATTAATACCCCTCGTTTTCTAGGCATTATTCGGCGGAAAAGCCGTGTTTCTGTGTATCGCCACCGCGATCACTGGCGCACTAATGATCTCGAGCTTTCATCATTTCTCGTACAGTCCAAAGATATGGTTCAATTGCTCGGATGAGAATGGAGTACCAACAAAGATGTTTTCGAAGATTACGGTAGGTAGGGAGAGCCGACAGGGATCATTGGGGAATCAGGCTCGGGCAGGCTAGCAGAGTTTTTTTGGGAAATTTAGGCCAGGGAAACGAGCATAGATTCTTGCCGAATTGAAGCTCTCAAGCTAGCAGAGATTTCTGGAGAAACCAATGGGGCCCAGGGCTAACTAGCAGAGTTCATTGAGGAATTGGAGTAAGAGCGACCTGGCAGAGATCCTTGCCGGATTGGGGTAGGGGCATGCTAGCAGGAATTCTTTGGGAAACAGAGCTAGCTCTGGGCAAGCTAGCAGAGATTGCTGTTTATTTTGACTTCTCGGTCCCTTTAACCCTCTTTAACCTGCTTTTTGTAGATGAACAGTGCGTACATGACGAAAGATCTGTTCATCTGGCTTCATATGGCCTCGGCCCTCCTCCTCATCTTCATCCCAACAATTCTCGTCTATTTCCTCGTCTACCGTATCACCCGCTCCATCAATTCGGGGCGTACCGGATGTGATGTCGCCAATGAGGCCATGGAGCTCTTCAGGTACCTCAGATTTTATGCTGATTTTTGCAAAAAAATAAAAGTAGTTAAATTAATTTTTACATTTTTATAAGTTTCATTTTGCTAATTTTTATGCACATTTATTAAATCTATAGAGTATTTTTCAGCAGCGCCGAGGGCCTCCTTCTCCAGCGAAAAAAGATCACCGTCTACCTACCGATGGTGGCGCACAGCTTCGCGCTCACCCATGTCAGTTTTATCAATTTTTAGGGGTGTCATTTGGAGTATCTCGTAGCGTTGCGGTGCAGTTTGCCTTCAGTAACCCTTTAAAATGTCAAAATAGCCGAAAATTCGCAGAGCAAGCATTAGCTTTATCACTTGTTCGAATTTTGGATAGCTTTTGCGGACTTTTAGGTTCCGTAATTTATTGTGCCGCGTAGCTACCGTAGCCCAAATCTGCTAGAAATCGAGTGGATCTCCAAGAATTTCCCCTCTTCTTTCTCATCGTGCAAATCCGGGACCGCCAGCCGGCCAAAAAAAAACTAGCTGAGCCAGATTTGGGGGATTAGGGATTAACCATGTGGAAGATCATCGCCGTATTCTCTTTTTCCACCTCCAAAATCTCACGCCCCGGCCGGGTTATATAAAAATTGCCCTTTTTTGCGGGACGGCGGCGGCCTTGGCCGGTTATGGGATTAGGGAGGGGGTAAATGTTAAATATGGGTGCCGACACGGCCGGATAAAGAGGAGGAGGGAATAATTAGTTTCTAACGCGCCGCGGGGAATCCGGTTTTGAGGTCGCGGTTTTGGGGGTTGGCTTTTGCAATGTGGAAGTGAACTTTTGGGCAAAAAGCAAAAACTTTTGCACCGGCGAGGATTCGAACCCTGGCCTTACGGGGGATGGGCGCGGAGAATTACCAATGAACCAAACAGTAGAGGGGCACGGGGAAGAGAGGGGATCCTTTGAACCGGCTGTGGAATTGCCCGGACCCACCTGGCTCTGGGTTTTCGCAAAAAATTGAATCTCAAGTCCAGAGTAAATCTTCGGAATTGCGAAGAGACACCGTATTTTCCTAATTTTACGGTACCGCTCTAAAATCCATTAAAACTGGAAATTCCGCCACCGTACCCTCAAATTACGGCCCCATCCGCCGGTTTTCTCGAATTTTTTCCGGCGCCCCTGACTACAAACCGCTTCATGATTACACCCCCGAGAATTCTAATTCCTCGCCCATTCAAAAATCATAAATTGCGGGTTTAAGGGGACCTCTCGGGAATAATAAAATTTATTTGTCGCGCCAGGTGGAGAGGAACTTTATATATTTTGCGAATAAATTTTTGGAAAGGGCAACTCTCGAGTGAGAGAGAGAGAGAGAGAGAGACAGAGAGAGAGAGAACACTTCTGGTTCCGATTGGGTGCTGAATAGTGAATAATTTGGGTTGGAATACATTAGATTTTTGTAGCGGGCGGTGGGAATCCAAAAAGTTCCGCTTAAACACATTTTTTTCAGGGATTTTTTGGGAATTTCCCTGAGCAGGGAACGTTTGGAAAGTATTGTAGGGGCTCTGAAATTAGAAAAATTCGTGTTTTAAGGGGTTTTTGAAGGTAAAAAAGCTAAAATTTTAAGTTTTCAAAGCTATTAACTAGTTTTAATTATGCAAATTTTTGCAGGTGCTCTCCGTGGTGCCATTCGTGTGGGAATTCTTCCTATTCCACTGGCTCGGCTTCAAGGGCTACTCGATCACCATCTCGATCATGAACGCCCTGCTCATCTGCGGCAAGATTGCCAATTTCGGGCTGCTCTACCTGAGCTGCGTGGAGATGGGGAGGAACGGGCTTCTGAACTATTGAATCCATAGGGTTTCGTGGCTTCCGTGGTCCTTTAAAACCGTTTATTCCGCTTCCCCAGCCCTAAAAAGCGTCTATTAATTCAGAAATGATCTCTCGACCCTAGAAGGTGATCCGTCTACCGTATCCGTAATCCGAACCCAAGCCTACGATTAAGCCTAAGTTAAACCTAAGCTAAGCCTAAGCTAAGCCCTAAGCTAAGCCTAAGACTAAACTATCCTTAAGTCCAACCTAAGCCTAAACCTATGCCTCCCTTCCCTGATCCCTCTCCCTGATCTCGAATCACCAAAAGTATATGCAAATTTTGCATAATCCCTATGATATCTCGATTTGTCTGGTTGTTTTTTGGCACATTGCCAGCTTCCCGGTCCCTTTAACTACCGTATCCCCCGCCCCCCCCCATTTCCGTTAGCATCCAAATTCCGGGTCCAAACTCCCCCCCGTATCGATCGGTATTTCATTTTGATATCAATAATTTGAGTGTTTTTCTCTATTTCTCTGCTTCTCTGGCCTCTCTCTCTATCTCTGATCTCTCCACATTCCCCTGCTCTTTCTCTCTCCATCCACCCCAAGTGAAAAGTGAAAAAACCAAAGTTTTAAGCGAATTCCCCTATGATAATCGATTGTGAGTGTTTGTATGATTTTTGTTGTGTATCGATTTGTCATTTTTGTGTGTTTTTGAGGCTGTAATATTTTAGACGAGCGTTTTTATCATTTTTCATATATTGATAAAGTTATTATACTTGATTGGAAGGAAAAAATGCACCATAAAAATAAAAGAGATTTGCATATATTTAAAAAACTTGGAAAAACTTTTTAAAAGTTAATTAAATTTTAAAATCACTATGAAAAGTAAAATGCAAAGTTTTTGAATAATTTGCATCAACTTCGAATTTTTATTACGATAATTAGCATTCTTAAGAAGATTAGAAACATTTAAATATTTCTAAATCTTTGAAAGTAATTAAAATAGCATAATTTGCATATTTTGTCATATTACCCTAATTTGCATATCCCAAATTTGCATCCGGAAACCGGAAGCCGGCTCATTTTTAAGCGAATTTTTCAACGGCTCCGGGGCATTTTAAATTTCTCTCGCTCTCGCTGGCCGCCTATGGACGCATCGAAATCCCCATTCCTCCAGGCACTCAAGGTATGCTAATTTGGGGCGACTTTTTGGAGATGCAAATTTTTTAGGGGAAGACCCTGGCCCGCAAGGACAAGACCACCATCGAAGGGGCCAAACTTCTCGAGGTATCACAATTTTAGGGGTTTCCGCAAAGGGTTTCTGCTAGTTTGCCTGGGACTGAGGGGGTTTCCTGAAGAATCTCAGCTAGCTCGCCCGGTTTCTCGAAACCTTTCGTCAAGGAACCCTGCTAGCTTGCCCCAGGTCGGCACCGTCCAAAAAGAATCTGTGCTAGCTGCCCCCGAGACGGTTTGGGTCGATTTCCACAAGGGGACTCTGCTAGCTCGCCGTGACTCTTGTTAAGGTTCCGCAAAGATTCTTTGTTAGTTGGCCTTGCGCTCGTCGCATTCTCGAAGAAACTCTGCTAGCCTACCTTGGCCCTTCCTTCAGCTTCCCTAAAAATATTTGCTAGATCTCCTTACCAGCTCCCGAATTCCCCGAAAGATCTCTGCTAGCCTGCCCTCCTTTCCCGAACAATCCCTGCTAGCCTGTCCTCGAATCCATCCTCTATTTTTCAGTCGAAAGAATTCATCGTGGTCTACATTGGTGCCTCATTCCTCTCCGGTGTTGGCAAGCGGAATGTGGAGAATTTGAAGGTACTGTAGATCGGGTGCAAATTATCTGTTTTTTTTTTCAGAACTTCTACGAGGCGCGAAAGGGCGAAGGGGTCGAGGTGATCTACCTCTCCCAGGACAACAACAACAAGGATTTCGAGAAGCACATTCAAGAGGCACAGCCCAATTGGCTCGCTGTACCGCCAAACACTAAGGAGAATGAGTAAGGAATCTCTAGCTCGTGCTCTCTCGCTCTCTCTCTCTCTCTCTCTAATACTCTCCTTTCAGCGAGCTGATGAAGGCCCTCGAGAATCCCTCCAAGCCGCACGTGATCGCCTTCAACAAGATTGGAATCATGTGTCGGCGTACTACTGGCACTAAGGTAGCGAGAGAGTGAGAGAGAGAGATAGAGAGAGAGAGCGTGAGTGGGTGAGAGAGAGCGGCAGAGAGAGGGAGAGAGAGAGAATATTGAGTGTCAATTACCTATTTTCCAGGACCTCGACTCAAAGGGCATCCTCGAGAAATGGCGCAACAAGAAGGAGAACTCCCCCAAGAAGTTGGTCATCTACAAACAGCCCGCTTTCTCTCCTGTCACCCACCCTTTAAACCTCCCCTCTCTTTTCCAGGAGCAACCAGGTGCCGAGCCAGGAATCGAAAGACTCTGAGGAGAAGCCGTGAAATGAAGAATGATGAAGCAGAAGAAAGAAGTGTTGCCGCTTTAATGTCTCCCTCGTTCTCTCTGTATCTCTCGCCATTCCCCTGTCTCTCTCACGCTCTCTTTCTATCGCTGTCTTTTTCTCTGGCCCCTCCTCCCCCTTAATCTCCTTCCCCTCCTCTCTATTCGTCCGGCTTTTTTTTGGTGATATTCCGGGCACACAAACACACAACTACCCCCGGAGAGGTATCGGAAACTATTCCGGGATACACGACAAGAAAATAATAAAGGGATTCGGTTTCGGTGGACAGGCAGAGGAGGGAGAGGTACAGAACTAGCGAGAGACAGCGAGACAGTGAGAGAGAGAGAGATATGGAGAAGCAGAAGAAGAGAGACACAAAATAGCGAGAGAACAGAAACACTGACAAATGGTGTGATACGGCGATGGATTTATTAGGTTTGAGCGAGATACACGATTTAACAGAAGTATAACGAAAGAAGAGAAGCACATAAGAGGAGACAGAGAGAGAGAGAGAGAAAGAGAGAGAACAATAAATAGAGCGTGAGCTACCTCATTCTTTCGAAAACTCCGCTAGCTTCCTCGCGGGCCTTTAGAGCCAATTTCCGCAGATATGATGCGCCTTTTCGAAATGCCGGCATTAAAATCTCGAGAGCCAGAAATCCCGACAAGCAAAAATAAACCATCGAGAAGGGACTTTGGCTGTCGGGATTTTGACCGAGACTCCTCTCCTGGCTTCCTCAAGAATCTCTACTAGCCTTCCCGGAGCACATCCAATTTCAGTTTCTAGAAATCAGAAATCCCCTCAAAACTTGCCCGTACTAGTTTATTTTTTTTCCATTTCTCTGGCTGTGTGCTCACTGGCTTTCTCTCACGCACACCCTCTCTCTCTCCCTCTCGCTCTCCCTCTCTCACTCTCTCTCCCGCTCTCTCTCTCCCTCGCTATCTTTCTCTTTCGCTTCAAATCACAAATTCTGTATTTTCCCCTCTAAAAGAATTGTATTCAACCGGGAACATTCCCTCCCCCATTTCTAAAACGAAGGCAACAATTCTACCCCCAAAAACTCCCACCCCACTTTTTTTGGGGACCGAATTTTCAGATTCGAAATTGGAAGGGCCAACTTTTTCCCGCGCTCTGGCCAAATAGGGGATTTGTAGTGAGAAGGGAAAAGGGGATTCCGAGAAATTCCGAAAAAATACCCTGGACACTACGAAGGAGGGACAGTGAAAATGATAAATTTGGTCTGGGGAGGGCGAACCGTGGATCAGAAAAGTGGTCAACGAGCAAAGAATCTTGTGGAAATCGAGAAGCCATGGTGGCTAGCAGAGATTCTTGTGGAAAACTTCTGGTATCGGAGCAAGATGGCAAAGACCCTTGTGGAAAAAGATGAGCCAGGGTGGCCAGCCGAAATTCTTAAGGAGGTTTGACCTTAAAAAAATCCGGTTGACGAGGTAAACTAGCAGAGATCTTTGGCGAAAATCGGACGGGAGGATGGCTAGCAGAGTTTCTTGAGGATCTGGGAAGGCTAGCAGAGGACGTTAAGGAAAGCGAGATGTAGGGAATTCTTAAAGGATCTCTGCTAGTATCAGGGAAACGAGCAGAGAGCATTTAGGAGAAAAATTACGGTATTAAAATCCCCTAGAAATTCAAAAGATGGCCCCCACCGATCCCCAAGAATCACTGCTAGATCACGGTTTTCCCCTCCCTATTTTACCTGTCGTAACCGTTTCTAGGTGTGGATCGGAATTTGGATCGTATTTTTGTCCATTCATTTCCTATTTTGCGGGTTTGCGGTGAGACTGCGGGCATCACAAGGCCAGCCTGCCAGATTCAAATCTTTTCGAGACTGCCCAAATTCAAGAGTGAGACTAGTGTGAAGGCGAGAGAGCGAGAGAGAGAAAGAGAGAGAAAGAGAGAGGGAGGGGTGACCTTCAGGAAGTGAAGAATGGCACCTTTCGCGGCCGGCCTAAACTATCTGGCCCTCAGATCTTTGTTAAAAGTGCCGAGTCGATAGGATCGGCGTGTACCGGTTGAGGACTACACCAATGAACTCTGAACACACTACCCCTACTAGGAGTACGGTAGCCGCCAAAAAAAGGTATGGAAAGAAAAAACGGGAACCGCGGTTTTCACGGCTTTAGAGGAACCGGAAAGGCAAGCTGGCAAAGGTTCTTTCGGAATTATCGCTTGTCTTCAACGTCCCTTTAAAATTGTAGCGATTTCTAAAAGATCTCTGCTAGAGGCTCGGCGCCATCCGGTTTTTCCTTAAAAATCCTTGCCAGATTCGGTTTATCTGATTCCCCAATGATCTCTGCTAGTTCCGCAAAAAATCCCTGCTAGCTCACCTTCCCATTTCCTCAAAGAATCCTGCTAGCAAGCCCCCAGTCGCGTGCCAAAAAAAACCCGCCAAAATACGGCAAATCCGCCTGTATTTTCGTGCGTAATCGTCTCTTCCATGATGTTCCAGAAATTTCGTGATTCCTTTACTGTCATCAGCAGCACCCCGGAATTTCACTTAAATTACGGTAGCTAGGCACATTCGCCCTTTTGTGGGTATTTGTCATTATTCTTCCGCGTTGGCCCGGGCCGGTTTTTGAGGTATTCCCAGTTCGATGAGCAATTAATGACAAATCTCAGCGATCGAGCAATACCGTAATGTGTGGTTACTGTAGCTGGGGATCGTGATTTTGGATCCTCGCGGAGTGAAATTAGGGCTTTTTGCTGACTTTATAGGGGGATGATGAATAATGAATGGCAGATTGTTATGGATCTGGGGGCGAGAGAGACAAAGAGAGAGAGAGATAGGGAGAGAGAGCGAGAGAGAGAGAGAGAGAGGGAGACCGACAGAGAGAGAAGCCCTTCCCTGTCCCTTTAATTTCGACAACAACGGCTTCTCACTGTTACAATGATCAACTACTATTTTCAGCACCTGATCCCCGAGAAGGCCAGAAATCTCTGCGGAGCGGATTATTTTTGAATACCCAAACTTAGCCAAGAATGCAATAGTCAAGCACCTTTAGCGTTGCCTTACAGGTCCCTTTAAAACTGAAAAATTATACTTTTTTTAGTTTTCGCAGTCTTCCCTTCCTTTACATTCGAAAAATCATGAGTTTTTAGGTTTTCACAGCTTCCAAATACCTTTAGAATTCGAAAATTCTAGATTTTTGGTTTTTCGCGTGCCTCCCTTTCTAGCCCCTTCAAGCCAAATTTCCGGAAAGCTAAAAGCGGCCTCTAGATCTTCCGGAAACCGGAATCGAGCCCGCTTTCCGATATCGAGGAATTCCGAACTAATTCTGCCATTGGCGCGCTGCCAAATTCGAGAGATCCGGTTTTGTCCATAGGATCTGCGCGGAATGCCGGCGTCTTCAGGTACAGCATTTCGAAAATTACAGTCACGCAAGTGTGGAAATATGCAAAAATGGGTTCTGGGAACAGTACCGTATTTCAATACCGTAATTCCCCAGTTTTAAAGGGCCTGTGAAGTCGATTCCCTTCACATCTGCCGCCATAATTTTCGAAAAATTTCGCCTGCCGTCTGCAAACGCTGCTACGTGCCCGCAGATGGCATGGTTTTTGCAGAGTTTTTGGGGGTAAATTCAGTCTGTCGGTCTGTCTCTCTCGCTCTCTCTCCCCTCGCTGTCTCTCTCGCTTCATCCTCCTTTCAGAAATCTTCGACAGCGATCCGGGAGAAAACCGGAAAACCCGAATTCCCGGGAGCGGGACTAGAAAATGCCCCGAAGCTATACGGGGGTGTGTGCCGAGAAATAGATGGCTTTTCCTGCTGCTGACCATCGGTCAAGCGGCATTTAGAGGAGAGAGAGAGAGAGAGAGAGAGAGAAAGAGAGAGAGAGGCAGCGAGGGACAGGCAGAGCTCACTGGAACACCTCTCATCATTGCCTAAATCCGATCGCTGAAAAAAGTCTAACCGACCGGGCCTCAGGCAAACTAGCAGAGAGCATTTCGGAAAGGTATGAAAGGAAAAATTTCTGCTAGTTTTCCGACCACAAAAATCGCGATTTTCGGTTTCCCAGTGTCAGGTAATCTAGAAGAATGTTTATAAAAATCACCAAACCGGTTGGGGAAGCCAGCAGTTTTTCCGGAAAACCCCTGGCTTTACCGTCCCTTTAAAAGCATTCCCCCATTTTCCAGACACAGCTCTCGAATTCAAATTTGCCGACAAAGAGGTGGAGATCCGTGACCTTGCCCTTGTCCAAACTTTTCACACGATCTGCCAATCAGATATTTCTCTCTCTCTCTCTCTCTCTCTCTCTCTCTCGCCTTGCCCTTTACTGTCGAAAATTTGCCGGGTCAAATCCGGCACGCGGAGTTTTTGTGAATGGCACCACGGTCCAAAAATTGGGAGGTTTTTGGGAGGCCCTGGAAGCCTAGCAAAGGTTTTTAGGAAAGCACGCTAGCAAAGATTTTTTAGGAATTCGGGCCAGCCAGCAGCGATTTTTGAGGAGCACCAAGGCAGGCTAGCAGCGAGCTTTAAATCGTTGGGCAGTTAGCAAAGGTCATTGAGGAATCGGGCTAGCTAGCAGTGATTCTTGAGGAATCGTTGAGCGGGCCAGCAGAGATCTTTGGCGAACCGGGCCAGCTAGCGGTGATTTTTGAGGAGCAGGTTGAGCAGGCTAGCATAGAACTCTTAGGAGTCATGACTCACATATATGTTCCTTTGCTAAATTCCGACACTGTACTTTCTACAACAACTCTTCAAACCTGCAAAATGTGCGTCGTCTGTACTCTACCGTAGCATAGAAGAGAGCCGATTACCCTGGAAGGATCTCTGAAAAATACGAGAAAAACGAGGGGATTGACCTCGGTCAGGTTGCGGAATAACACCACGCTTGGCTGCAGACAAAATATTAATCAGATGACCGAGGAGGGGGTCTACAATAGTTGTTCAAAATTTGTTTTTTTTTGCCGGGATCTCCTCAAAAATCACTGCGAGCTCACCAAAAGAGAGAGATAGAGAGAAAGAGAGATAGAGAGAGAGAGAG